CTCAATGAGACCCCAGCCACTACTGTAATAAACATAATAAATAATAACAAACAACATGATGCATCAGCTACAATGAGCAGCATCAGTAAAAGGGAGTCACTTTTTAAAATGTAGGAAGAAGCTGGAGGAAGCTGGGAGAAAAATACAAGACACATAAAAGGCAGAGGCAGAGAAGCGAAGGGAACTAAGTGTAGGAGAAACTTTCCCACTTGAATCAGGGTTCCCGCTCATGCACAATGATCTCTCTCCTCTTCCTCCCCTTTCTTGGTGAGACCAATTAGAATAATAAAACTTCCCCCTCCTCTATCCCACCTATAATAGTTAAAAATCCTGGTTTTCTACAGTTACTTTATAACTTTTTTCATTCAGAGAGAGAATGCATACTTGGGGGAAGTAATTTATTTCCTTTGCTAAATCCCTTGAGCACTACAGTGGAGGATACAAAATATTGTTCTTCGGCTGCTTGCTTGTTGCTCTGTAAAATATTAAATTAAAACTACATGAACTTGCTTCCCCATTTTCCCACCAGCAAGTATTTGGCAGTCATGTCGTCACAGCTGATGCTTCTGTCTAGATTTCAAAACTGAAATAGCCCATAATGCCTTAATGAACAAACTGATGTTGTAGCACTTCCTAAGCATCAAACACATCGTGACTCTAGTTTTTGTTTTTCTGTTGTTGTTTCTTTTTGTTTGTTTGTTGGGGGGGGGTTACAAGGTCTTTGCAGAGATCAAGCTCAAAAGGACACACACACAAAAACAAATAAAACCCCAAACCACCACCCCCCAGTTACCTGCCGACAGAGATCTAGCTGGATCACAACAAGTTAATGGGGAAGGAATGGAATGGCAGGTGTCTTCCCATACTGTTTTGTTTTAATGATCACTTTGATATGGAGAACAATAATTCTGCCTGTTTTGTGCTTCAGGGCTGCCCACAGGGGGATCAAATTAGGGTGCCCACTTTCAGCCTAAAAATAAAGACACTATCTTGCATGTCCTGACTTTTTTTTTTTTTTTGGCTCACCAAATTATATACTTTGGGGGAGAAGCAGATGGGCTAAAAATAGAGATTGTTTCTCCTTGTACTTATATGGAAATGATGCATGACCCTTAACCTACCACTTTTAGTTAAGATCTCAAACTAACGAAAAAAAAAAGCTGAAGTCAATGTAAGTGCTGAGCAACAGCTGCTTGCACCTGGCTCAGGCAGCTTCAAATGCAACATAATGGAAATGCTGACATAACCTTATTTGTTGGCGCCATTCATGCCACTGACAAACAGTGCACAGAGATTGTATCTTTTCATAGTGCAGTTCCTTCTTAACCGACAGTATAGCTCATGGGCTACCTCTTCTCCCTCTGGCCATCACACAGGCCACTCCCCTCTCATTTGCATAACATTCCCATGGCAACTGCAGTGACTGTTTACATAGAAAAATGATATAAGGAATGCAATTTTTGGTCATTTTTTAAAATGATTAACAGCTGAATAAAAGGAGGAGAGCCAACACCATGTGACCTGCCAGCTTTTCACAGACCATCAGCAGTTTGCTGGTTTGGACTAGAGTAAATGGTGGATTCTCTGTAACTTGAAAAATTTAAACCAAGATTTAAGGATCTGAGTAACTCAGACAGAGGTATGGGCCTACTGCAGGAGTTCTGTGGCCTGCAATGCTATAATAGGTCAGTCTACATGATGGTCCCTTCAGGCCTTCAAGTCTTTGCAGCTATAAGTACTCCATACACCAGTTTGGGAGCCTCTGATGGATGGTAATCTGGGTTTGCAAACTCAACTCACATGGCTGAGAAAGAACGATGTGACTCTAGCGATTTAGCAGAGGATAAGTGAAGGGTAGGAACACTCTGTATTTGAGAGACTCAGAGCTATTTTGCATTTGGTGCATGCTTTTTGCTCCTCTAATATGACTCAATTCTGCGAGGTGCCATGCATTCTGGCCCCAAACCAGCAAAGCACATGCTCAGCTAAATTGTACTGTTCATATGTTTAAAGTTAATTATGTGCTTAAATGCTATGTTGGATCAGGGACAGAATGTTCAGCCCTCTTGCAGGATCAAGGCCCTTTTAGGCTCGCAGTCCCACAGTAACATATACAAGTTATGGGGAAAGGAAGTTAAGATGTGAAAATAAAAATAAATGATGTGATTTTAAATAGTCTCATGAGTACCATGAGGTTTGCCCAGCCACATTCTGAGTAAAAACAACACTGTAAAGTGAATGTGGGGAAAAGAAACTACAGCTACTGAAGATGGCTACTGTTGTTGCTGCTTGAGCTTTGCTATTGACTAAAAAGGCCACCTGACCCTGTGAGATTAACTAGAAGAGCCTCAGCAGAGGGTAGCAAACCATAACACTTCTAGGACAAAAGACAATTTAAAGAGCATAACAAAGCATTTGATTTTAATGGGGCTGTCCGGTTGTAAATGAAGGCAGAATCTGGCCTATACTCTATAGACTTCAAGTTTTAGTTCATAAAGGAGGGGGAAAGCCTCATGAATTGAATAAGCAACCTCAAGAGGGCTAAAATTCCTTTATCTGAACAAAGTATTCATACAGCCTGATGGACAGAATGACCCAATTCTCTATCTCTAAATTGTTGACAGTATAAAACAGTTGAATAGCATATCCATTAAACTGCCTTATCAAAGAGATATAAATAGAGGAAAATTAAGATACTGATCTTGGCCTAAAAATTGTGTTCTACTTATTCTATTTTCAATTAGAAAGCTTTGTCAGCTATGAAAAATGTTCACTTCATTGATATCACTAGTAATTATGAAATAAATTGCATTAACAATGTGAAGTAGCAACAGTAAAGTTCCTTAACTATACAGTAGTCCCTTTGATTAACTAGCTCTTCAAATGTGAAGTTGTGGAATAAAAAATGAAGCACACAGACAAACAGTGCAAGTGCATCTATTTACTCATATTCATCTTTATTTAGCTTGATCAGTTTGCTACTTTCTCACTGTTCAATACGAAAGGTGAGAACCAATTTGCCAACTAAAGAAAATGAGTTTCCTATTGGCACTGGGTTATTATGAGAGAAATTGCTGCGTAACTTTAAAATGTTTTCTCTTCTGAGATCAGTGTTCAGAAGTTGAACTGAGGTAGGAAAGAGATAAGGCTAAAATCAAATGATTAAGAACAGTACAGAAGAATAATTTACTCTTTGAGCATTATATGAAAGGACTGTTGCTGTTTTGAGCCTGTCTCTGGGGAGATGATTTTCCATCACAACTGTTTCCACAAAGGTATTGTGCATTGCACTGGTAGAATTTCACAGCCTCATTTCACCCTGAATGATGCTGTATTTCAGTAATTCCATATTGAATCTATTGTACAGGGGCGTTTCAGAGAGTGCCCAATGGATTTTAACATGAATGCAATGAGTATACTTTCATAAACTTTTTTTAAATTACATAAATACAACAATAAATGGACAGACCAAATTTTGGGCCTACTATTTGGTCAAGTGAGCATGACATAAATACTTAAGATTGATCTGTCACTAGTACTTATTAGAGTTGTGGTTTTTAAGATGGGCAGGGAAGCACATAAGAATCTGGCTTTGGTATTTCATTAAATTAACCTTCTAATCTAATGTGCCCCTGGATTTGCCCATCTGGGACTTAAGTCCCAGTGAAGCTAATAAAGTTGAGAACGCACAGTGAAGTCAACCCAAGACAAGTTTTGTTCCAAAAAGGACATTTTAGGCACCAAAAAAGGTTTTGATTTTTATAATGATTTCAACCCTTGGAGGGACAGAGGAAGAGGATCTAAGCATTACATTTAGAAAGAGATATATATATGCCTTGTAGTTTCAGCTCAAACTTTGACCTCTCTTAAAATGATCATAATCTGATGGGAAATGTCCAGTGACAAAATATATCCAACACCACATCATCACTGCTGTCAATAATGATTAAATATAGAACTTAATACATGATCCTGGAACATGTTGCTTTTCTTCTATGACATTCATTAGCCAGCTGAGGAAGCATGTGTTAACTAATATAGTTTAAAAAATTTCCCAGAACTGTGCTGGTGACTTCCTCACTGATGCTCCTGAAAACAAGTTAAACATTACAAAACCTGGATTAGTTAGTTTTTCATGAAAGAAAAAGAAAATGTGGGGAAATGTCATTGTTTGCCAAATGGAAAAAGCAGAGGGCTAGTCAGGAAAGAAATGTTTCTCTCTCATTTCTCATAGGGTATTATTATAAACAAAGGATAGTAAACAACAAAAATTTAAAATGATACAAAAATGCTTAGTGTTTCTTTATATATTTACTTTGCTGCTATTTGGGGAATAATTTGTTCCATTTAGCTAGAGTTGGACTCAGAGGACTGCTTTAATCCAGAGAGATTAATTATAGCCTTATAGTTATAACACAAGTTTGGGGAAGCAAAACACAGAAAAAGAAAAGAGGAAGAAATGCCTTTCTCGTTAGCAATTAACAAGTTTATGTGCTTCAAGGTTATAGCAGGCAAACTGTGCTCTAACTACATCTGTATACTGAGAGCAGAAAGGGTGTAAATCAGGGCAAAACTGGGCCTGGAGATGTCTAGGAAAGATACTGCTATACTGAAACTAACAGCAGAGATATTGAAGCAAACAGCAGAGGTAACTGCGTTGCTAGGGGTAACTAAGCTACCTCTCAGTTGTCCTTCATTTGAAATCCAAATTTACCTGTATCTTGCAAAGACCTCCTGTGACCTCACTTTTATTATTTACATCAGAAATGCTGAATCATCCAGCTGGGACTATAAACAATGTTAATTAGGCTACAGAATTGATCCACATTAATTTTAAGCTTCTTATGGTATTTTACTCATCTATCATTTTGATCCTTTGCTTCTTGCTGTGTCCCACATTCAGGCCCCAGGAGGCTAAGAGGCATGGGACCTACAAGAGCTAGACACAAAGAAAAAGTAACATAGGCAAAAGGGGGGAGAAATGTTGTGTATGAGCTTACCTAGTGATGGTTCAGGTACTCCTTCCTCAAAGCTGTCCTCAGCACCCTCCTCACCCATTCCAGAGGTCACAGAATCTTCTGGGGCAGACGCTGAGCCGGGAGTGCTTGGCCCACTAACAGAACCAGAATCCCCTTCTTCACTGCTGGATCCATACCGGTCTGGCTGAGCAATGGTCCCACTCTCACTGCAGCTCCTGCGTTCTTTCCTGTGCACCCGCGAATGGAGCACCATTTGGTGGTACGTGCGGAAAATCTTTCCACACTCAAAGCACTCAGTGGACTTGTTTTGGGATGCCCTTCTACTCTGCCTTGAGGAGGGTCTGTAGTCCAGGTCACTCTGAGCAAGGATACAGTTTTCTCCTTGTTGCACATTGCTGTTCTTCTCCAAGCGCCCACTGACACAGCTTTTCTTCTTGGGGTTGCTGGAGGAGCTGGGTGAATCCTGATCTCGCTTGCGCTTCTCCTGGCTGACCAGAATATATTCTCTTTTATCCTTGTCATAAGTCACATCTGCATCAGCAAGGACTTCATCCCATCCCACATATTTTACATACTCAGAAGGCTCTGCTACTTTTCCTTTGGTGGCCAGCTGCCAGGCCTGGTAGCTACTGACTGGATCCAGCTCAGCTACCCTTTTTCCAGGCTGTCCTCTTGTAACTCTATCTATCCCTACAGCAGACCTCAGATTCAGGCACTGTAAGAAAAATTGCTTATTTACAGATGGATCTGGGCTTCCATCAATTAACCCCTCACCTTTGTTCTCAATACTGCTTCTTTGAGCTCTGAAGTGTACAGCATTATGTGCTTTTAGGCTTTCCATATTTGTAAACAGATTCCCGCACTTGGTGCAAACTTCATACAGAGATAAGCCAGTCACAATTGTTTCCTCCTGAATCACATTATTAATAGTGGCTATGGGCTCTAAATCATTTTTTGGTTTGTTTTTGCTCCCCGTCTTTGGACCGTGTGATTTCATGTGGTTTTTGAGAAACCAGGGCTCTTTAAATCTCCTGCCACAAATGTGGCATCCATGATCAAACGATCCTCTATGCTTTTTCATGTGAGCTTTGAGAAACCAGGTTTGACTGAAGGCCTGACCACAGACTTCACAAGGAAATTCCCCTGCATTCAGCTCACTCTTGCAATTCTCAGTGTAAGCTTCCCCGTTTGGAATTTGAGCTGTAATATGGTCTTTCTCTATATGGTTTAACAGCGTCTCTTCTCTTAATGTCATGTAGTTACAAAGCCTGCATTTGTATGGCTTATGGACTTGATGTAGGTGCTGTTCCAGGTCTTTCTTTCTCTCAAACTTGTTTTTGCAGAAGTTGCACAGATAAGTGGGTAGCTTGCCATCTTCTGCAGGTGGTGCCTCGGTGACAACCTCCTTCTTGCTGCTTCTCAATAAAATCTTGCTGTTGTCTGCCTGGGTTGCCCCATTCAGAATCTTGTTGCAGGCAGATGTACTTTTGGTGGGGCTGGTGCATCCGTCAAGGCCTTCTGAGACTCCCATCTCTCCAAGCTGTGCTTCTCCCATCTCCACCTCATGCCCCTGACTTAAAGTGCCTGTTCTGTGACTCCGAATGTGTATCTTCAGATTGCCCTTTTGGGAGGCTCTGTGGTCGCAGTAAGGACATTTATAGGGCTTCTCTCCTGTGTGCTTCCTCATGTGCTGAGACAGGGAGCTCTGAAAAGGAAAACTCTTGCCACAGATGCAGCAGCTGTGGCACATGGACTTGTCTCCATCAACGTCGTTCTTGTTTATCTTGCTAGGACTAGAGGATCTTCGTAATTCCATCTCTACCTCCTTGCTGCGATCCATCTGAACTACTGCAACATCGGTCGTACAGGGCAAAAGGACAAAGCCTTGTCCAACAGCAGAGGGCTGGGCTGTGGTTTCAATCATACGGTTCTGATGAGTGTTTACCTCTTCATTCTCAGGTTAAAGTTTCCCCTATCAATTGCTCGAAAGAGTCTGGGCTGTCACTTTATTCATGTATGTTCTGGAAGCGGATGGCAATAAGCACCTGAAACAAACAAAAACAAAAATACAGAAATTGTGTAAGTAGATTATTCAATATGTTTAAAACTATTTATACTTTTCCTTGGGTGCTTTTTGTCACCAGACCCAATTTTAAAAACATATTATACTTTGATTTATTTTAATAATAAGCATTAGCTTATATTAATATTCCATAACATGCACAATTTTAGTTTAAATGGTTAGCATTCAAAGCAACATTAATTAAAATATAATTTGGGGTAAAAACAATGACATACACAGGGATAAGGGACATCATGGTTTAAAAAATGTGTGCGCGCCATGGGCAGGGTGGATAAAAATCAATGATTTTTTTTTTTTTAAAAAAGGATTTTTTAAATTTAAATTGGATTTTTTTGATAAAATGCTTTTTGAGGAAAAAACCTATCTAAAGATAGTTTTAATTAAGATATATCTTTAAGCTATAATGTCTCATCATGGAATAGAGATTATACATTCTAATTCTATAGTATAAAACAATATATTCATGTAATATATGAGAAAAGTTTTGTAAATGAATTCCAATAGTTCATGGATTAGGGACCCAGTTTATGAGGTTCCACAGGCTTCTGTATAGATTATTTAGGTTAATCTATCTACCCAATGGGACTCAGTGCTCAGTCTAGAAGTTACCATCAGAGATGCTTAGTTTTGTGGTTCTCAAACTGTGGATTTGTGTCTCCAGAGATAACATGCTTGTTAACAGCAAAAATGTTTTTAAATAAATAAATAATATATAGAGGTGAGAAATAACAGACCTCAACTCTATTGTCCCTCTGCAAATTTGTGTAGACAGAGTCAATCCCTTACCTCTCTCTAAAAGTGCAAAGTTTCAAAAGGTTCAATGAATAGAAGATTGTTGGGGGCAGAATAGATCTGGACAAGGAAAAGAAGTCTGGAGATAAATGTGAGAAGTGAGGGACATATGCTTGTTTTGTTAAAATATTATGTTTGCTGTTGAAGAAAAAAATCCAGAATACATAACGTTGTTGTTTTAGTTAAATAAAACAATGTAAATGTCTGTCGGGTGAAGTTCTCCTCCTAATACAGCATGGCAAGAAAATCCTCCAAATATTAATGATTAAGCTGTTGAATTGGAGACAGTTCACCTCCCAATGACTTCATAAATATATGCTTCAATTACCTTTAGTAAATGAAATAACCAACCAACTAATCTGAAAAGTTTTCAAAATAAATCACTGTTTAAAAATGTATCATGTGTACCTTCTAAAAATGAAACCTACATCTATCTCTGAGTTGTGAAGAATACGTATTAAGGTTATACCAACCAACAAAAATGCACTTTTATGTAGAAAACCATGATGAAATCGAGTCTTCCTGGATAGTGATTTAAATCATTATTTAAATCAATTTAATTTAAATCAAATCCCCACTGGCCATGGGCTCCGTCCCCTTCCCCCTCTTCCCCCCAAAAAAAGTATGAATAAAGTCTCAACAACAGGAAAATCCATTTTCAAACATTCTTATATTTCTTATTTCAAAACCGAGAGAGAGAGAGAGAATCCATATGTCTGTATGTCTCTGTGTATATCTTTTACATTAGGAAACAATTTCTTGAAGTGGTTGTTACACTTTAAGTCTGTGGCTTTATAGTCATGAATAATTTCATTTAAAAATATTTGCTTGCCCAGAGATAAAAAACTTTTCTGTAGACTTTCTTTATAGAATATTGTACCCCTGTTGAAAATTACATTAAATTGTATTTCGGGCAGTTCTGCTGTGCTTGATGTGGGGTGTACTTCATGTAACAGGAAAGCAGACTGCAGTGCACTTCACATTTTGATTGAAAGGGAAACCATAATACAGAGATTGACAAAGTGTTCTGTGTATTTAAAGATGATTTCCTGTTGGGCATCCAGTATGAAAAAAAAATGCTGATCCAAGACATAGGCCCCAATTCAACCAAGTAAATAAGCATGTGCTTAAATGCTCACTGTAATGGTTGTTAAAGTTATGTCAACGGAACTTAAAGGTAAGCATGTGCTTAAATGCTTTGCTGAAGCAGATCCTTAGTTATTAAAATCACATTGGTCAGTGATGAACAAATAGAATTTTAAAAGCTGTTGCATGACAGTATGTATAGTAATAACCATCTTTAAAACTGGGTCCCTTATTTATCTCAGCTACACAACATATATTTCCCCATCAACTCGCAACCCTGAGCACATAAAAAAAGAGAAATAACGTTATTAATGTTATAAAATAAGCTTTTCCAGTCCCCTTATATATACAAAGCAAAAGTTTCTCAGTTATTTGTAGCCCCCTTACCCAGTTTGAACAGCAAGTTCTATCTGAAGGAAAGAATATTGTATGCACTAATGGATGGAGTCAATCCATTTCTTTGGTAGTAAGAAAAGAAAGCAATTTCTTAAGATGTGGCCAGATCTAAACACAACCACTACAACCACACATACACACTTTCCACTGGAGACTTCTGATGCAAAAATCAAAAAAAGAGATTTACAGTTGCAAACTCTAAGGTCTTGTCACTTTGTTCACCACAGATTATTCTGAACTGGGAAGTGAATAAATGTAGTCTGACCATGAACATCATCATAAATCTAAACACAATCTAAAATAATTAGATTATTCATCTCAGGCACTCAGTTACATTCCCTGGTAATAACACTAATTATTTTTAAGCTAACCTAACTTTTCATTTTCTGAAAAACAATTCAGTTTAGATCTTCAGGGTAATTAATTTTGGTTACTAGCTGTTTATAGTTTTAAGAGGTAAGCATCACATTATCTACCTTTTCCTCAAGGACCAATACAACTACAAATATCTGCAAGAAACACGTCTCAAATTCAATTGCATTTCTTTCAAATGAAACACATTTTTCTCTTATGACTATGTCCAGAACTGATGTACTACATTATCAGGGGAAAATCGCATCCGATCAAGAGCTCAAATGTCTAGCTGAGCAACAAGTTTGCAAAGAGAGCATCTGAACTGCTGATCCCTGAAATTAGCAGTTTAGGACTGAGTTGAGGGACAGCCCCGCAAGACACATGCTTGGCTAAAGAAATAATGGCCATCATTCAGGCTACCAGAAAGCTGTACCGAAAGTACAAACAAGCCAGAAAAACCCCACATAGGGTAGTAATGAGTGGAGCAGTTCAAATAAATTAACAGCCCAACTTGAACCATAAACAAACTTTTCCTGAGCTTCAATCTCATTGCCCTATTATTTTTAATTTTTCCAAGCCTAGAAGCAGTGTCAAAATGGTATGTTGGACAGGGACCAAGTAAAGGGAAAACCTGTTCTCAGGAAATTTCCAGATCAGCTTGTTGAACTAAGAGTTTCAGATAAGTTTCAGAGTAACAGCCATGTTAGTCTGTATTCGCAAAAAGAAAAGGAGGACTTGTGGCACTTTAGAGACTAACCAATTTATTTGAGCATAAGCTTTCATGAGCTACAGATAAGCATCCAAACTTGGGGACAGATTTTCAAAGGTATTTAGGCTCTTTAAAATGCAGACAGGCACCTAGTGGGATTTTCTAAAGCATCTATGCAGGTTAGGTGCCTAACTCTTATTGATTTCAACGGGAGTTGGGTGCCTAACCTGCTCAGGCACTTTTGAAAAATCTCAGTAGGCACCTATCTGCATCTTTAGGCACCTAAACATCTTTGAAAATCTGTTCCTTGGTTACTGGGAATCTTCTCCAGGATACCTAGGGCTGTGAAAAACCTCACTACTACCTGCCCTTAGTGTGAGGAAACCACATTTGTGCCTGTCATGGGTCAGCTCCCTGACTACACCAGCCACAAGCAACCCATGCATTCCCCTTCAGGCCTTGCAGGCCCTGCAGTCACTCTACTGGTTAGCAATTGGGACACTCCAGCCCTTGAGCCCTTCAATCACTTCCCTGGAGTGCCCAGCCCCTGATCCACAGGAGAACCCCAGTATTCCCAGACTCGCTGCTTCCAAAGAAACAACACATCCTAGCTTATCAATTCCACCTCAGCTCATCACTCCACTTAACTGAGAGCACTCAAATATGTTTACATTGAAACAAGTGTAAGTGTATTAAACAAAGCACAGTGATTGAAACAGTAGCAAGTATTAGAAACAAACGGTTACATATAAAATAAAATCATAACATGCACTCTAAAGCCTAGACTTAATTACCAAGATACTCTCCCGTCTTGTAAAGTAATTCTCACCCCAAATCCTTGCAGCACTTTACTGCAAGGCTTGGCATTGACCCTCCATTTATGAGACAAGCATGCGGTCCATTTGCCTCCTTTGTGAAAGATCTCATGTGTTTGTTTGCACTCCTAAATAAACCAGAACAATTCCTTGTCTTTATTAATAATAAGCAGGCCACTCCTCTGTACACTTCTTCTCTTGTAGGTTTTTCAATCTCTTATTTAGCCCCTGGCTTAGTATGTCAATAGGCATACATGTGAGGCACTGAATATTCACATGGTCAGACAAGGAAATATGTCTTATCTGCTGCCTTAGGACCTTTCTGAGGTATGTCACCTCACCTCCTGGGGACCTGCCTTAACTCCAAGACCTTAAGAATGTAATTTTCTGTATAGATACATAATCCTTAAATATTCACAAATGATTATGATGACCAGTGGGCTTCTGGTTCTCAATACAGATCTCACATGCCACTCTTCAGCATACATCTGACACAGGAGATTCCTGTACAACCCTATGCATCCCCTGTTCCCTCTGCCAGTTGGCACCAAAGGGTCACAGTTACTTATTTGACCCCCAAACCATCAACCTTTTGAGACGGACCCCCTCATTGGAAAGTAATACAAGCTCTTCTAGTGCTTCTGCCACCTGTCTGAAAGTCCAAAGATACATGCTTAAGAGACAAACTTAGGGCTTGTCTGCACTGCACTGTAGCATGGACCACAGGGGTGTGAATTGAAGAGTGCACCAAAGATTTGTGTGCTCTAACCGCCCCATACAGACGCTGCTGGCACAATCTAAGAAGTACTT